TCTTCCTCAGAAAAAAAAAAAAAAGCTTGAACAACACAAATTTATTATCTCAGTTTCCATAGTCTAGGAGTCTGGGTACAAGTTAGCTGAGTCCTCTGCTCAGGATCTGATAAGGCTGAAATCAAGTTGTCAGTCACTCTCTGATTCTCACCAGGGGCTCTAGATCCTCTTCCAAGCTCACTAGTTGTTGGCAGAGCTCAGTTCCTTGTGACTATAGGACTAGGTTCCTGTTCTCTTGATAGCTGTTGGCCAGGAACTTGTCTCAGCTGCCAGAGACTGCCTCTCTCCATCAGCAGTTCACAACATAGCTCTTTGTTTTCTTCAAGTCCGGCAGAAGCAGGTCTCTCTGACTTCTTCCTCTAATACCAGCTGGACAAAGTCTCTAACCTGGGTGGTTAGATCAAGTCCACCCAGGATAATCTGCCGTATGACATACAATGTTACATAATCTCAAGAATGAGGTATTGTCATATAGACAGGTTCTACCCACACTCCAGGGAAGGAGATTATACAGGGTATGTACACCATGGAGTGGGAATCTGGGGGGCCATCTTAGGATCCTGCCTACCACACCCTATTATGATCTTAGGCAATGACTTACTCTCTAAGAAAGCCTCATGGTGGAATCTTATGCTTTGACTAATAAAGCTATTACCCACTTTACTTTTTGTGTTTATTCTTTTTTTAATATTTAGCAATATTCTTTTTTTAATAAAAATTGTATATACTTAAGATGTACAACATGATGATTTGATATACATATAGATAACGAAATGACTACTACGGTCCAGCTAATTAACATATCTCCTCACATAGTTGCCTCTTTTTTTGTGATGGAAGCACCTGAAATCTACTCTCTTAGCAAACAAAGTTGCAGTTATTTAGCAATATTCTTTTTTTTAATTGAAGTATAATTGATATACAATATCCTATTCATTTCAGGTGTACATCATAGTGATTCGATATTTACATACATTACAAAATGATCACAATAAGTCTAGTTACCATCTGTCACCACACAAAGTTATTACAATATTATCGACTGTATTCCCTATGCTATGCATTGCATACCCTTTAGATATCTTTTCCACCACTGCAGCATTATTTACAATAGCTAAGACTTGGAAGCAAGTAAGTATCCATTGATAGATGAATGGATAAAAAAGATGAGTTATATACATCCATTCCAACATAGGGGTGCATATATCTCTTTGAATTAGTGGTTTTGTTTTCTTCAGATAAGTACCCAGAAGTGGAATTGCTGAATCATATGGTAGTTGTATTTTTAGTTTTCGAGGAACCGCCATACTGTTTTCCATCATGACTGCACCAATTTACATTCCCGACAATGTACGTGGGTTCCCTGTTCTCCACATCCTTGCCAACACTTTTTATTTTTTGTCTTTTTGATAATAGCCATTCTAACAGGTGTGAGATGATATCTCATTGTAGTTTTGATTAGTGATTAGTGATGTTGAGCATCTCTTCATGTACCTATTGGCCATTCGTGTGCCTTCTTTGAAAAAATGCCCATTCAAGTTCTCTGCCCATTTTTTAATTATGTCGGGTTTTTTTTTTTTTTGGTATTAAGTTGTGTAAGTTCTTTATATATTTTGAATATTAACTTCTTATTGGATGTATGATTTGCAAATATCTTCTCTCATTGAGTAGGTTGCCTTTTTGTTTCGTTAATGGTTTCTTTGGCTGTGCAAAAGCTTTTTAGTTTGATGTAATTCCATTTGTTAAATTTTGCTTTTGTTGCCCTTGCCTGAGGAGACTGGTCCAAAAAAATACTGCTAAGACTGATGTCCAAGAGCTGAGTCCCTATGTTTTCTTCTAGGAGTTCTATGGTTTCGGGTCTTACATTCAAGTCTTTAATCCATTTTTAATTTATTTTTGTATATGATGTAAGATAGTGGTCTAGTTTCATTCTTTTGCATGTAGCTGTCCAGTTTTCCCAACGCCGTTTGTTAAAGAGACTGTCTTTTTCTCATTGTATATTCTTGCATCTTTTGTCACAGATTCATTGACCATATATGTGTGGGTTTATTTCTGGGCTTTCTATTCTATTCCATTGATCTATGTGTCTGTTTTCGTGCCAGTACCATACTGTTTTGATGTTTGGAATCAGTGAGCGTAATACCTCTAGCTTTGTTTTTCTTTCTCAAGAGTGTTTTGGCTATTTGGGGCATAAATTAGGCATAAAAGTAATGCATACTTATTATAGCTGGAACCACAGATTTGTACAACTCCAGGATGCACCATTCACATTTTATTGTGTAGAGTTGTCATTGAGGGGATCCGTTCACATGGTAGACATTGCAAATAGCATCTTGGAGTCATATAGTACAGTGACTCTGATTTTAAAACATTGAAACAGTACATTTTTTAAAAATTAATAATATTTCTCAATCCCAACCATCCTTTCTCTTTGTAATTACTCTGATATAACCAATTTGGTTAATATTGTTAATAATAAAAGGATATTTGAGTCCTTCCACGCCTTTCTCCTTGCTTGTTCGGATACATGCAAACCTACATACCTACACAAGTTCTTTAAAACAAAATCATACTGTATATATTGCTCTTCACTTGCTAGTTTTGCTTAATAAACTTCTAAATAACCCACTGGCCAAAGAAGAAATCTGAATTAAGGGGAATTGTTGTTCAATGGGTATAAGGTTTCAGTCGTGCGAGATGAATAAGTTCTAGAGATCTGCTGTACAACCTAGTACCTATATTTAACAATACTGTATTGTGCACTTAAAGTTGGTTGAGAAGATAGATCTGCTGTGTTCTTACCACAATAAAAAGATAGAAAAAACTTGAACAGGAAAAACAATGCAAAGATATACAAATGGATAACATGGTGAAAAGATATCCCATATTATTTTTCATAAGCAGAACAGACTAATAAATTCTGATTTCAATGGTGATACAAGTCAGAAGTCAGAATAGTGGTTATACCGGGAGCGGGGAAATGAATGGTAGGGGGATTAGCAGACATTTGGTCCTGTCCAAAACATCCATAAGACATTTGGTCCACACCAAAATGTCCTTGACATTTGGTCCTGTCCAAAATGTCCATGAGCACATTTGGTCCACGCCAAATGGTTTTGGACAGGACCAAATATCAAAGACCTTTTGGCATGGACGAAATGTTTGATGGACGTCTTGGACAGGACTGAATGTCCTGCAAGGAGTAGGGGATCCTAAAGAGGCTTCTGTGCTGTTCTTATATTCTATATCTTATTCTGGGTGATGGTTACTGTGTGGCTTCATATTGTGAAAGTGTATCAAACACTGCACCTAAGATTTTTCACTTTTCTGAATGCATGTTACACTGCAAGAAAAAAGGTTTAGAAAGGTAATCTCATGTAAACTGGTGATTCCCACTGCACAGGCTAAAATATGCCAGAACATAGGGATATCTCAAATGCTCTTTCTGAGGGAGGACGTGGGTATGTATATGGAATTTCCATAACCCCCAGCCAAATATGAGTTCAGTTTCATAGATTATAGACTCCAAATATATAGCACAGAATAACTGGCATCCTAGTAAAACTGAAAAAAGATGTTCTCTTTTCTTGTATATTTGCTATGTAACTCTATTCCCCTCAATACTACGAAATCTCTGGCTGGAAACAGCAATGTAGATTATAACATGTAACACATTTATTGCTGTAGGAATTGGGAATTTGGTTTGTTCTCTTAATTTTTGCATGGACATATATTCATATATGTCCTATTAACTCTGACACTTTAAAAATGTTAACACACATGCATGACTCAGAATTGAATTAACTCAACTCTTGAGATGCTGAAGAAATATCACTCCTTCAGGTGGAAGATAACTTAGGCTACACAGATATTGCAGGATCTCCATCTCTCACCAAGTATCTGAACAAGATGTCTCTGGCTGAGAGTAAACATTGAAAAAGTAGGGAGAACATAATTTTGGATTTTAACTCCTTTGAAACTTAATTTAGAAATTTTATTTTTGGAATCTAATTTCTTCCTGGAAATTGAGCCCAAAGAATTTATATTGCTCAAATTTAGCACATTTTAATAGAGTAATGTGCTATTTAGAGTATTTTGATGCTGTCACTTGGGTTTATTACCTCACCTGTGTTGTGCTGTGTTAGACAATATGACTGTATTACTTTGAGTTAGGGGGAAAGTGTTAAATTCTTGGCCTAGGGTGTAGTGTAGCCTTGTAATTAATTAATACACTAATCTAACCCTACTTCAGAGACTGCCTATGCCAAAGGTTAAGTGATAATTTCTGGTCCTAAAAGGAAGCACCAAAAAGCGGATTTTGATAACTGGGCTAAAGCTCATGAAAGCTGGAGCAGGATGTCCCTGATAACTGCTGGAAACCACCCCTGTGGAGAATTTAAGTGTGAATCCCACTAGGAGAGGAGAATTTAAGAGCTGGAAATTTGTTTTCTCTTCCAACCCCTAGTCACTCGAGAAGGCGAGTTCAGTTATATGATTGCACCTTGCTTTCTCTCACTTTGGCCCTGCTTGCCTGACGAATGAGTCCATTTTCTTTCCTGTTTCTTTTCCCATATGGAAAGTTCATTGGAGCATGGTTTTCTGCCATTTGGATATAAAAGAATATAAAAATACAGATGTAGTTTACATTTATTTGCTAACAGATGATTCCAAGTTTCTTTTACTGTGTTTATTAACAATTTTTGATTTCTCCTCTCTGAAATACCTGTGTATATCTTTTGCCTATTTTCTGTTGAGTTATTTTTGATTTGTAGTTTTTATATAGTCAAAATACTCTCTTTTTGTGATTTAAATAGTTTTTGCTGGTTTGTGACTTATCTTTTCACTTTACTTTTATGTGTCTTTGGAGGAGCAGAATTTTTAAATTTTAATGTAGTAAAATATATCAGTTATTTCTATTTTCGGTTTGCTTCACCTGTCTTAAGAAATACTTTGAGAGTGTAAACAGTCTCCTAAATTTTCCTGAAGTCTATTACATTTTGTCATTTACATTTAAACTTTCAATTTGCCTGAACTTGGTTTTTGTCTATGGTGTTAGGTACAGAACCAACTTTATTATTATTTTTTCCTATAAGAATTACCAACTTGGGGGCCAGCCCGGTGTGGCATAGTGGTTAAGTTTGTGTGCTCCACTTCAGTGGCCTGGGGTTCCTGGGTTGGGATCCCTGGCACAGACCTACACACCTCTCATCAAGCCATGCTGTGGCAGCGTCCCACATACAAAATAGAGAACGATTGGCACTGATGTAAGCTCAGGGCCAATCTTCCTCACCGAAAAAAAAAAAAAAACAAAAGAAAGAATTACCAACTTTCTCTTTACCAATTGTTAAATAACCCATACTTAAAATAACTCCCTGCAATGTCACCTCTGTCATATAGTAAGATTCAGTACCTACTTGAGTTTGTCTTTATATTTTATATTCTCTTCCATCTCTCTGTTTGCTAACTCCACACTATCTTAATTATCATAACATTATAGTTAGTTTTGATATCTGCAAGAACAAATTTTTCCACTTGATTCCCTTCCTCAGGAGTATTATGGCTATTCTTGTCTTCTTGCTTATCCATATAAAATTTTAAATCAGTTTGTCAAATTTCATGAGAAACATTGTTTGAGTTTTGATTGGCACTGCATTGATTCTTTTGATCAATTTACAAAGCATTAACATCTTAATATGGAGTCTATCCTTAATGGTTTTAAACAACTTTCTCTACAAACGTCTTGCCCGTCTTTTGTTATAATTATAACTAAAGGCATGCTAGTGATGTTGTATATTTATTTTACACCCAGAGCAGCATATTATAATTTCTTATTAAATTCAATTGTTAATCAATTTATATATTTTGTTCCATCATTCTGTGTAGACAATCATGCATAAGTAATTAAAGTTATGCTTCTTTCTTTCCAATTCTTGTGCCTTTTATTATTCTTCTAGCGTTCACAGTCTCTCCAAACCAAGTTACTACAAAAGCCCCGCCAAATCTTTCTGTGCTTTCTAGGATCTTCAATATGATTTAACAGAAGTGATATTGGGTATCTTTGTCCTTTCCTTGGGCCTAAAGGAAAGTTTCTGACATTTTACCACTAACAATGATGTTTACCATCAACAGTGAGATGGAAGAAGTTCCATTCCGGTCCTCATTTGTTAAAACTTTTAATCATGACTGGATTTTGAATTTTCTTTTATATTATAGAGATCATAGGAATTTTATCTTTTAATTACCAATTTACATAGATTGTATGATGTTAAAACAGACTTGCTTTTCAGGTCATGATGTCATATATGTTTTATATACTGTTACATTCTACTTGTTTATTTTTTATGATTTTACCTATTTTGTGAGTATAATTTTCCTATTTCTTTACCTGGTTTTGAATCAGTGTTACAGTAGACTCTTCTATATAAATAATAGAATTTGCTTTAAAACCATCTGTGAGTAATGTTTAATGATCTTATCTTCATGGAGAGATTGTTAATTTATTCAATGTATTTAATGCTTATAGGATTGTTCAGTGTTCCTATTTCTTCCTGAATTAGTTTGGCACATCTCTTTCCTAGGAAGTTTTCCCACTTCATGTGTTTTCAGATATATTGGCGTACATTTGTTTACAATATTCTATTGCTATCTTTTAAATCCTGCTATATCTGTAATTATATTACCATTTTAATTCTTGACATTATCTGTATTTTAATTCTCATTTTTTGTTGTTGTTGTTACTCAATCCTGTAAAATGTATGATTGTTTTATAGGTACTTTAATAATCATTGTTTTAGCTTAGTGACTCTTTTCTATTGTAAATTTATTTTATATTTTATTAATTTCTATTTATACCTTAATTAGATTCATCTTTGTAATTATTTAGGTCTATTCTCTTTGTTGTTTTTCCAACTACTTAATTTGGATACTGAGCTCATTAATTGTAAGACTTTTTTATTTTCTAATATATGCATTAAAGGCTATAATTTTTATTTAATGAATTTAATTGCATCTACATAGTTAAATATGCAGGTTTTTGCTATCATTCAGGAAAAATTATTTTTTTATTTAGTTTTCATTTTAATTCTTTCATTGAGCCATTAATTATTTAATTCATTACTTAAATGTTTAAATTAAGTTAATTATGTTTTTAACTTCCTAATATAGAAATATAGGTTTTATTAAATATCCTTTTACAACTTATTTCTAATTTGTCAGGTTTTCCTTTTGCATTTTATTTTACTTTCTTCCAGCTTTATTGAGGTATAATTGACAAATAACAATTGTATATATTTAAGGTGTACAACATGATGGTTTGATATATGTATACATTGTGAAATGATTACCACAATCACGTTAATTCTCCCTTATTTCTTTTTTTAATAATTTTATTTTTTTTCCCCCCCAAAGCCCCAGTACATAGTTGTATGTCACAGCTGCACATCCCTCTAGCTGCTGTATGTGGGACTCGGCCTCAGCACGGACGGAGAAGCGGTACATGGGTGTGCGCCTGGATCTGAACCCGGGCCTCCAGCAGAGAAGCGCGTGCACCCAACCGCTAAGCCACGGGGCCGGCCGGATTCTCCCTTATTTCTAATATTGAGTAATGGTGGTCAGTAATTGTTGGCTTGTATGAGATCAATTTATTAAAAATTGAGATTTCCTACTGGCCTAGCATTCATTAATACAAATTGTATAAATATTTCAAATGTGTTTGAGAAGGATTTGTATTCTTTGATTGTTGGCTTCAGGAATACATTTATTATTAAATAATAAAGATTGTCAAGCCTATTGTTCAAAACCCACCTGGTTTAATCAATTTTTGCTTTATCTATTAGCTACATATAAGTTCGAATTATTACATCTTCTTGATGAATTAAATCCGTTGCTATTATGTAGTGATTCACTTTGAAAAGAAATAAGATTTTTGTTGTAAAGTTTATTTTTCTTCTCATAATATCATCTATAGTATTTCTGACATAGTTTCTTTTGTCTGGTATTCACCTCTTATGACTTCTTCCATCCCTTTTATAGTCAATATTTTGGTGTCTTCATATTTTCAGATTATTGCTTATAAAGAACCTACAGCTAGAATTAGACTTTTAAAATTCCATCTGACAATTTCTGTCTTATAAAGGAAACATGCAGCAAACATACATTTGATTATTGATATATTAGGTCTTGTTCACATTAGTTTATTTTACGCTTTTTATTATTCCTGCTTTTATATGTGTTATTTTTCTTGATTGTCTTTTTTGGCAGTTTTTCAGGAATTTTCACTTGTTAATTTTTCTTATTATTTTTTAAATATATACATATTTGGGTGCTATCATATTATTTCTATTCTTTTATGAGTTACAGTTATGATTTTATCATTAGTGCATAATGTAAAAAAATAATCTAAATATAATCAATATATTAATTCTCCTTTCGAATATCAAGAATTTTGAAGGCTTTATACACCCCAATTTATGTGGTATTATTATCCTCTTTTGTCTTTTTTACTTCCCCCAAATTATACACAAACATTATTATTTTATATAGTTGGCGTGTGTGTATATTTACTCACAAGTTTACCAACTTATTTCCTCACCATTTTTTCTTACGTCTCAAGACATTCTAGGATCATTTTCCTTCTTCCTCAGTTAAATACATTATTTGCAAGTTCTTTTACTATCTGTTGACAGTAAACTCAGTTTTGTTTACTTGCAAATTACTTTTCTTTTCCCTCATTCATAAAAAATAGTTTGGGGGCCAGCCAGGTGGTGCATCGGTTAAGTGTGCTCACTCCACTTTGGTGGCCCGGGGTTCACAGGTCCAGATCCGCACGCACACCGATGCACCGCTTGTCAAGCCACGCTGTGGAGGCGTCCCATATAAAGTAGAGGAGGATGGGCACAGATGTTAGCCCAGGACCAATCTTCCTCAGCAAAAAGAGGAGGATTAGCATCAGATGTTAGCTCAGGGCTGATCTTCCTCACAAAAAAAAAAATAGTTTGCTGCATATATAAATTCTCTGCCCATTTAGAAAATATTTTCCATAGTGTCTGGATTACAGTGTTACTCTTGAAACATCAGTTGTCAGTATAATTACTGTTCATGAGAAGATAATTTGTGGCTTTTTAAAATATTTGGTGTGGGTTTTGATTTGTTTTTGTTTGGATATGGTGCAGTTATTTCACTACAAAGTATCAAGTTATGGACTTCTTTTCATTTATCCTCTTAGTATTCATAATGATTTTTGTATCATATAAAACAGTGTGAATCTCTTAAAAAATTGTCAATTATTATCTCTTCTAACATTAATTCTTAGTCATTATTTTTATTCTTTTCTTCTGGAACTCTGCTCATGTTAGCATTGGACTATCGCCATCTATCCTATATTATCTTTTACCTCTCATTCACGTTATAGATCTCTTTTTCTCTCTGCTACAGACTGATAATTTCTTAATATCTCTTCTATTTTATTAATACTCTCTACAGATTTGTTTAATATGATGTGTAATCTTCTATTTATGTTAAATTTAATTTATTATTTTTTTTCACTTTCAATTCTCCTCTTTAATTCAATATGAAATCTTTCTGTTGTTTTTGATAAATTCTTGTACATTGCTCTTTTTTATACACCTTTTTTAAAATAATTAGTATATAATTATTTTATATTCTAAATCTGATAATTCCAATATCTGAAGTTCTTGGATATATTTATCTATTGTATTGTTTCTGCTGCATTTCAAACGTAGTGGCTTCTTTCCTAAAGTACCCAGTACTTTTCAATCTGAGCTAATATTTGACAGAATTTAATCTATTGGAATCTTGAGGACATTTCCTTGGGTCTATTTTCCTACTGGGAGGATTTATATTTTTTAGAATATATTAATTTATATTCATCAGAAGAACTACTAACTTGCAACCAATTTAATTTCTTAGCTAGATACTCTCAGGTGACATGAGTTGTAAAAATTTGAAATCCAGCGTCACCTGAGAGAAGCTCTGTTTGTAATTATCAGACTATCATTTTGATGATTATCATTATTTTTATATCATATTTTTTTACTTTTTTGAGATGGAGACAGACAGATGTCCTCATAGGTTCCTTTTGCAGCAGAAAATTTTTGGTAACCTACCCTTTCACTAATGCGTAGCTCTTTTATACTACCCCAGATTAATGCAGTGGTGTCCCATTCATCTCTCTCTAATTTGGTAGACCTAAGCATAATGTTTCATTTCCTACATTTATATCATTTATCTTTAAGATCTAGGTACCTGATATATGCATTTGCTCCTAGAAACTTCCCCTAGCTTTTGCTTACTTAATGCTCACATCTTTGGTTTCAGCAAACGATTCCTATTTTGGGATCCCTGGTAATTTTTCTTACTTCCTTGTAAACAGTCACTCATTTAAATATAAACATGGTAAAATTTACCAAAGATCAAGTTGCATTGGAGAAGGAAATGGTGTTCATTTGTTCGTTTGTTTTTAGGATATCTAATCAATCATAAAGCTGGAAGCAGAAGTTTCTAATATATAATGTAGCTCTTTTTCCGATTCTTTGATTTTTAAATGATTTAAGAGAGGACAGTCTGAGACTCGAAGCTAAGATTATGGATGATCAGGATGTGAAACTGACTATTTTCCCAATATGATGCTATCCATAACATCAACATTTTTTGTTCTATTTTTTGATCTCATATCCTCATTCAGAATTAAGAGGCACATGATTTGCTAAATTCTTGTTATAATATAATCTGATTTCAAAGGTCATTAGAATAAGTTAATTTTGGCTTTTCAAATGTTATTTCTTCTGAGGCTCAGTAATTAGCAGTCATTTCCAATCTTTAAAGGATTAATAGTCATCAAAAATATTATCTAATAGTTATTGTGTATACACACACACACGTGTGCACATATATAAGATTTTAAGATGATTTGAAACAATGGAAAATTAACCGCTTGTCTTGATTCAAATGATGCTAAATTAAAAACTCTGTCTACAGAATCACCCATGATAATGGAAAACAGGTTTATACTCTCCTCTGTACTCGCTTTCATTTTCCGAAAAACATTAAGACTTACTCTTGAGATAAACTCATTTACTTAAAAACTCTGAGTGTGTAGTAAATTTGGCAATGACTGACTGGAATACTATGTTAGCAGATTACATGGGTTTCTTTGGCACTTAACAATGCCCCTCTTATAGGACTGTACACAAATGGACATAATTTCTCACAGATCCAAAGAGAAAATCTGTCCTGACTCTAACTCAACATGGATAAAGGCAGAAGCAAATTGCTCTGCCATATAGAGAGTTGAGGTCATTGAAATCATTGTGCCATTGAAAGATGTTTGAAATAAAAATGTGAACAAAATTGAACAAAAATAACAAAATAAACAAACTCCATATTACATGAGCAAACAATACGTCAAAGTGTATCGAGTAACCAGTGACTGG